GTTTTTGGCAGAGATTGACTCGAGCCTGACGGCCGTACGTCGTCTATGGCTTCTAAGGTCCGGTGACGCTCCGTAAGGAAGGCGTTATGTCGGATAAATAGGAAACCTGGCTCACTTGTTGAACAGTGGAACGAGGTGTCGACAAGAAAAAGTAGTGGATCGGAGAAATAGAAATTGGAAGCAAGTACCGACCTGGTTACTTTGCGGAATTAAACCCAGTGATACGGATTAGGAACGGTGAGTAAGGAGTTCGAATATCACCCGTTGAGAAGTAATACTAACCCTTTTGGTATATGTATTATGGTTGGGATCAAGTTTGGTATATTTTTGCTGGTATTTTTTGCGTTTGGATAAATTGAGGGGGAAAAATACCAACTATGTGTATATATAGTCCCCGGTGGAGTAATTGTAATATTTTCGCCTTTATTTAAACGTCTGAATGAAGAAAAAATATTAAAATTTGTTGGCCGGAGGATGCGATCGGTTGACTATTTAATATTGGAGTATTGCTTTAATTTAATTTAATAATCCGAGGGAAAAATACTAAAAGTATACCAAAAAAAGTTGGTGGACGGAGGATGCTATGCATGCAGTGGAGTGCTGGTATTTTTCTCGTTTAAATAAAATAAATTTTTACGGAGTAAATACCGAAAACAATACTAAAAAGTTTGATGGTAAATAAAATACAATGACCAAAAAATTTTCACGTCGGTTGGTGTAATTTTTTATTTTATTATTTTGGACCGGATGGCCGACGGAAAACTTTAATTAGTCGGAACGGGATGGTGGAGTTAAAAATTATTTGTGACTGTATGTAGATATGTGTATATATGTAGATATTTGAATGTATGTAGATATATATATGTATGTACCCTGCAGTTCCAAAATTGAGTTAAGCGCCCAATCATCACGAAGCCGACTGCGACGTCGGCAGAGAAGCCAGCGATGCCGGCAGAGCTGAGCGCAACGGCGGCAAAGCGACGCGCTCTCAGTCGGGTCCGCAAAGAGAACGCACAAAAAAGTAATTTTGGGCTCTCCCTCTCTCGTCAAGTCTCAGACGAAAAAGTGCGCTTGAAGGGAAGGAGGCCCAGCAACTAAAATATATAGACCTTTGTGCACCCTTGCCTTTTGAATAATGCGACATTTTTTCTTAAAGGTTAAAACAACGATTTAAAATAATAGGTTTCTGTTTTAAAATATTTGTATTTCTTAAACAAATTTATATGTTTATTAATATAGATTAATAATATGTAAAGTTTTAAAAATATATTTTTATAAACCGATTTGCATAGTCGAATATGTCTATAAATACCCTGCTTTTATGTGCAAGATGCATAGACCAAACGGGACATGCAAAAAAAACAACAACGGCTTAGCGGGAAATACAAGATTCCCAAAATAACACGTGGCGGAAAAAAAATAGCTGTGAAAAATATTAATTTTTGACGTGAAAAGCAACAAATGGTGCATATAATAAACAAATCTGTGAAAAAATTTTAAAATCTTATTGAGTGCTGAGTTCCTAGGGACCAAAAATAAGAGATGTTTGTTTTTATAACTTATGATTTTTTGATTAAAGCACAATTTTTATTTTTGTGTAAGTAAACAAACATGGCTATTTAAATAAAAATCTCAAACATCTCTAATTTTCCGTCCCTGGAAAAGTGGTATTTTTTTCCGCATCTTCAAAATAAATAAATGTTTTAATAAATAATAAAAAAATACATAAAAAAATTTTTACAACAAAATAAAATAAATCAAGTGACCGAAAACAAAAGTTTGCAAATTTCTTCTCGATATTTTTTTAATTTTCATATTTTTTAAGACAAGGCTGATGTAAATCTATAAAAAAATGGAAGGCTGAGTCGTTCCATCTTAAGCATATTATCCGAGGAACTTGTTCTGTCCCACAACTTGGAGGGGGGCAAAACAAGAAGAAACTCAGTCTACCCAAAGTTCGTCCGCGCCTTATTAAGTAAGTTTTTGTTGAGGCTGAAAACTATTGTTTGTAAGTTTAATTTTTAAAAGACTTCTGGGATTTTTACATTGAATGCCAAAGATAACATTTCTTTTATTATAAATAAATCTTACAACTAACGATTACTTTCGGTCACTCGTTTTTATTCTCGTCTTGTTTTATTTTTAAAACTAATTTTTTTCTAATACTAGATGCAATCGCCCTGGTGGATCCCTCGGAGCCTCCCGAAAAGGCGCTGCAGAAGGCAATGCGGTGCGTTAAAAACTTGAGTTGTACCAAAAAAAGGCAACGCCGGCACAAGATGCTGAGAAGGAGGTGCCAGCGACCCCGATAACACCGGAAACCCCCGAGCTCAAATTTTAAAATAAACAAATAAAAATAAAAATTACAACTGAAATTTTATTTGCTGCTAAGCGCTGAAAGTGCGCTTTTTCGCTGCTTGAATGAGCGCTTAACGTGTGCTGAATGTGTGCTTTTACCGCTGCTCAATCGAGCGCTCAACATGTGCTGAATGTGTGCTTTTTCCGCTGCTCAATCGAGCGCTCAACATGTGCTGAACGTGTGCTTTTTCAGCTGCTCAATCGAGCGCTCAAGAGGGTGCTCAAAAAAGCGCTCAATGCGTGCTATTTTTTGAGCACTGATGAACCCTAGGACATGCCTATGTTAATTTCAGCACATAGCTCCATACAAATTGTGCGCTCATTGAGCGCTGAGTGATGAGCTTTTTGCAGTGATTGAGTGCTCAATAAGCGCTGAATGGTACTGCAGGGTAGGTATTTGTATGTATGTAGATATATGCATGTATGTAATTTTCGCCGGTTTTAAATTTATTAAATAATTATTGCCGGCGGGGTATGTGTTGTTGTGGAAGTTTTCGATTTATTGTGTGTGGACTGTATTTGGAAAAACGAAAAAATATGTGCAAGTATTTTAGCGGCTGCGGATATACAGTGAGAAAAATCTTGAAAAGTTTTGGGGGCCTGAATTGGCAGAACACTAGAAATTTAATAATTCTCACTGTATGCTTGGCTTATATTAGCACAATATTTTTTATAAGCTTGGAATTTTTTCTCGATTTTGTATATGTGTATGTAAGTATGGATGAGCGGCCAAATGCAATTAAAAAAAGGAGTCGGAAAAAATAGGCAATATGACCGCACGTAGCAAAAGGAAAAACGAAGAAAAAAATGGCGAAGTAATTATACCCGTTACTCGTAGAGTAAAAGGGTATACTAGATTCGTCGGAAAGTATGTAACAGGCAGAAGGAAGCGTTTCCGACCCCATTAAGTATATATATTCTTGATCAGGACCACTAGCCGAGTCGATCTAGCCATGTCCGTCTGTCCGTCTGTCCGTCTGTCCGTCTGACCGTCTGTCCGTCTGTCCGTCTGTCTGTCCGTCCGGATGAACGCTGAGATCTCGGAAACTATGAGAGCTAGGCTATTGAGATTTGGCGTACAGATTCCTGAGCTTCTTACGCAGCGCAAGTTTGTTTCAGTAGACTGCCACGCCCACTCTAACGCCCACAAACCGCCCAAAACTGTAACTCCTACAGTTTTGATGCTAGATAGAAAATTTTAACTGAAATGTATTGTTCTCATCAAAACCTATCGATTGACCTAAAAAAAAGTTTGCCACGCCCACTTAAACGCCCACAAACCGCGAAAACCTGTGACGCCCGCAATTTGCATGCTAGATAAAAAATTTTAACTGAAATGTATTGGTGTCGTCAATACCTATCGATTGATCCAAAATAATTCTGCCACGCCCACTCTAACGCCCATAACGCTTAAATCTGTCTACCGCCGGTAGGTGGCGCATTTTAATTTCGCTTTGCTGCTTGCATATCTCCATTTCCCTTTGAGTAACGGGTATCTGATAGTCGAGGTACTCGACTATAGCGTTCTTCCTTGTTTTTAATTGCCGTTGTCGGATTTAATCGGACTAGGATTTTGGACAAATCGTACAGAAAGTCAAACGAATTATATTTTCGAGTGGCTGACTGCAGACCGGCAATTAATAAGACGAAAAGCTTTACTTATCTTATCGGCTCGAATGGATCAAAATGTACGCCGGGGGGTAGCGGGGTACCGTGGTGGCGCTGATGGAATGGCGTGGGAGGCGACGGCGGGAAACTGGCGGCGTCGGCGGCCTGCTGCGCTGGGCTTCGGCGGTTTGCTGCTGGTGCGGTTTGCTGCTGGTGTTGCGGAAGCTGTAGGGGAGAAACCACTCGAACGCGTATTGCCCCTTGATCGAAAAGAAGTACGCACAAAAGTTAACTTGGAAAGTAGGCGGGGGTACGACCGCGGTTTATTCAGTTTTAACTCCAGAATCGAACTGCCTAAGTCTAAGATCCGCTCTGCGCTCCAAAGCGCAACGGAGACTTCATGGAGGGAGCTAGGAACAGCGCAGGAGAGCGGGAGCGCGAGAGAGCGGGAGAGCGGTGCAGCTGGATAGCGGGGCCGATCCAGATTCGCCGGACAGTGGGCCTGAACAAATGCAAAAAAGTAAAAAAATATGTTTTTATTCAAGATTTTCCATTTGGGAAATTCTCTTCTATGTATCTTTTACAAGCATATGTAAAGTCACTTCTGAGTGACTTCCAGAAGGGACTACGGCGACACTTCCAGAAGATATTTCGGCGATCCGAATACGACATCGCGTACGATCGTTTTCATCTTCTAGAAGTCACTTAATAGTGCCTTCCGCGATAGAAAATGCTTGCTGCGCAGGATTGCACTACAAACAAGCAAGTGTGTATGTATGCGTTCTTGTTCGAGAAGACGATTTTCGGTGCCAAATTATTTCTGAGCTAAGAAACGGGTTTACTTGCAGCCGTTAAAAAGGGATAAGGGAAATGCATTGGTCATAAGAAATACCATAATTGAATCGGACGTTTAATATTAACAGTTTAATTAACTATTAACCATTTTATATACTTACTATTTTAAATATAAAAAATAAAATATAATTAAATTTGTATTGTGTGCCTATTTACGGCACGCAATACAATGACATTTTCTTTTTTATTTGTGGGAGGTCCATTAAGGCGGACTTCATTTTTCATGAAATTTGTTACGTCTTACTTATTTCATTATATATTTTCTTTTGGTGTTTTTAACGCATAACCAAAAGAAAAGGTTGAACAAATTACTTTTAGACAAGGACCGTAGCAGTTATAACTTTAACTTTAAAAATCAATTTTTAATCGGCATTCATCACATTTTATTTTCAAGTCATGAAATAATTGTTATTTTTCAACTTTAACATAAAAGTCTGAACATAACAGGTATTTTCTAAAAAACAGGGACCGTAAATAATCAATGTTTGTGATTTTTATTTTAAACGACCTAATATATTTTGGTATTTCTTATATTATTTTGGTATTAATATGTATATGGAGTAATTTGTAGGTGCAAATTGGGCCATACGGGGTAGATTATGGATGTGTTTGTTCAGAAACTTGTTGCTTACTGTTAACATATAAGTCGGCAATGAACACGCAGGGCAATTCCCTATGCCCGCTTAGAGGGAAGCGGACGACCGATGGTGTATATTCAAAACCTACAAATTTTACTTATTTTTCATTATATGTGTTCCCTTATCGTTTTCACTTACACTTAAAAATTCCACGCTACAATCAACACATCGCTTTAACTACTTCATTACTTATCGGCCAGCTGGTCCGCGATCCAATCCAGATGTTCCTCCTTGAAGCGGGGATCCGCCATGATTAGAGCTGTTGATTTGAAGCTATAGTAATAGAAAACCGACACTGCGAAGAAGGAGGTGAACATCACGATAAGCGTGTAAGCATTATTTCTGGATCTCACTGATGCGTTGTCCCAATGATAAAGATATTAGACCTATTGGCCAATGCTGCTTTTCTTCGCCTGGTGGGTGATGATATTGGTAGATGATCCAGAAATGCTGGGAGGCAGACAGAAGAAAGTACAGGGTAATGCTGATCAGGAAGAGCTTGCAGTTCCGCAGGATTATGAAGGAGGCACCGACCTGGTACACACACGTTGAATGCAGCGCCATGGTGAACAGCAAATACTCCGTAATGATCAGAGCGTCCTGAATTCTGAAATAAACTGGTTAAGTCCAGTAATCGAAATCCTCCGAGCTTTGAAAACTTACACAAAGAGAAATATGGCTGTCTGCAATCGGTTTCTAACAAGCGAAGGCCCAAATGCGTTTAAGAGAAGGTCTACTCCCAAAAGGGCGAACTGAAGCAAAAGCACCCAGGAGTACCGTCGCAGAGTTAGCTTCATAGCGCTATTAACGGTAATCTATTGTTTGGGATGTCAGTTTATTGTGTATTTACTGTGCTGGTTTTGTTGTGTTCTTATTGCTCGGTTTTATTTACGTCCTTCGCCCTGGTGAAGTCAAAGAAACCGCAGAGGTCATGCGCTCTGTCTGTCATACCAAAAACATATCGATAGATAAATGTCCTTAAAAAAGCAGCTATGTATATTTAACTCGAACAAAGTTTAGAACATCCCCGCAAATAAGAGGGCGATATTTCTATCGCCTGTTGTCCATATAGAAAAACGATAGAACAAATTTTACAAAACCAATATATACATATGTCGCGTAAAAGTCACTTCTAAGTCACTTTTGGACGATATAAAGACAATTGTACACATTTTACAAAAACAAAATGGGTCGGGATCGCGAAGAAGTAATTTCTGAGACACTTCTGAGCGATAGAAAAACGTAGTACATATCTTACAAAAACCAAATTAGTGGAAAAAAACACGCGATAAAAAGAGCTTGCGGTAATTTTCCGTTACCCCATTTTTTCTGAAAATTTCTCCAGTCTTCCTTTTGACCCACGCTATTATTTTTCGCCCGAGCGTTATTTCGATTCGCGATATGTCTGTGGACAGTGCGGTTTTGTATCGAATTTGTGCGTTTATTAAATATAGCTTTGTTTTTTCTAAATGTTTTCTTATTGCCTAACATATTTAAATGTCCCTCTCAACAAAGGGTGCAAAATTACGTGCACGATTATTTAAAACTATTTACGAACAAGCTAGCTGTGGACATTACTTGGCGTGTAACTGCGGAGAAACCCAGCATCCAATGATTCTCCACATATTTCATTGTAAAAGGTAATGTCTTCTAGTTTATTTTTACTTTGACTGAATAAAAAACAATTTTTGTTCCTGTTTAATTTAGAAATGGGTTTTACTAAATTTCTCATGACGACGGAGCTGGACCTAAATAACATTGTTCAGCAAAATTTCCTATATGCCAGGGACGGTGTATACAAGCGGACAAAGCCCTTATACAAAATATAAATGCAAAAAAGTAAAAAAATATGTTTTTATTCAAGATTTTCCAATTGGGAAATTCTCTTCTATGTATCTTTTACAAGCATATATAGAGTCACTTCTGAGTGACTTCCAGAAGGGACTACGGCGACACTTCCAGAAGATACTTCGGCGATCCGAATACGATATCGCGTACGATCGTTTTCATCTTCTAGAAGTCACTTAATAATGCCTTCCGCTATAGAAAAGGCTTGCTGCGCAGGGTATGTATGCGTTCTTGTTCGAGAAGACGATTTTCGGTGCCAAATTATTTCTGAGCTAAGAAACGGGTTTACTTGCAGCCGTTAAAAAGGGATAAGGGAAATGCATTGGTCATAAGAAATACCATAATTGAATCGGACGTTCAATATTAACAGTTTAATTTACTATTAACAATTTTATATACTTACTATTTTAAATATAAAAAATAAAATATAATTATATTTGTATTGTGTGCCTATTTACGGCACGCAATACAATGACATTTTCTGGTTTATTTGTGGGAGGTCCATTAAGGCGGACATCATTTTTCATGAAATTTGTTACGTCTTACTTATTTCATTATATATTTCCTTTTGGTATTTTTAATACATAACCAAAAGAAAAGGTTGAACAAATTAGTTTTAGACAAGGAATTTAGAATTTGCGGTAGCGTTGTGTTGTAGAATTCATGTGTATAAGTAAAAATGGCAATTTTAAGAACATACATAGGATCAAATTCCAACCGAATTCAAACAAAAACAAGAGAGAACGCTGTAGACGAGTACCTCGACTATCAGATACCCGTTACTCAGCTAAAGGGAGCAAAGGGAGAGTGAGGTATGCGAGCAGCAAAGTGAGATTGAAAAGCGCCACCTACCCGCGATCTCAATATATGGTTATGTGGGCGGAAGAAAGATTTAAGCGTTATGGGCGTTAAAGTGGGCGTGGTAAACTTTTTTTTTGTTCAAGCGATACACAGAAAAAACCGAGCCAGGATCAATTTGATATTCGCATGGTAAATTTGTGTTTTTTAGACACATATCATTTTCACCATCAAATAATGTCAAATTGATACCAAAAAATGTCAAATTGTCGATTTCTCTCTTTTCGGAAATTTCTTGACATCGAAAAAGAGAGGATATAGCAATATTGCGACATCAATCACGTGAGTGGAAGCGAAAAGGATATATTCAAAATTCGAATTGGGCTAATTCGAACATGTTGTCTCGCTTGCACTAGGATGCGTTTTAGTGGATTTTTTTTATTTTAATGCAAGTCGGACGTGCATGGTCAGTTCAGTGTTTCTCCAAGTTGAAAAAAAAGGTGAGTAAACTTCATATATAATGTGTATACGTATAAAGTGTTATAAGACTTATAAGAACATAATAATTGGAAATAAATAAAATCGTGTGCGGTTTTCTGAGTGGCTTTTATTATACGACTGCCCTACGACAAGAAAAACACGTGCAACTATGTGTGTACATACCCTTCAGTTCTGCAGTAGGGACGCGGTGACATGGCTCAAGGCAAAAAGCTTTTTTGTTTTTTTTTTTGTGCCTAAAACGCTGTGCCGCTGTTGACGTCAGCAGAAAGTCGGCGCAGTGTAGAAGACTGCCTACGAAAACGATCGTGCAACAAAGTGAGGCAGATATTCGGAGCTTCCCTCTCTTTCTTTGTCTTATAATCTGCCTGCACTCGGCGCTCTCAGAGACAAATTTCGGCAGGTCCGTTATTTCTTTTGAGTCTCTCCGTTATGTTCGGCTAGCGACTAATGTTTCGGCGGAAAAATTTTCGTGGCGCAGCGACATGTGAGTGCCCTAATATTTTAGGAGCATTATTGTATATCGAAAAAAAACAACTAATATTGTTTTATAAAAGTAAATTATTTGATTATAGTAAAATTAAGTAAATTGAATTTACTTATAATGTTATATTTACTTATTATACATTCTTATTACAATATAATTTTTTAGTTGAGTTATAGAAATTTAGTCCGTTAAAATTGATTTAAGTATTTAAAACATTTAAGTATTAACATTTAAAAAAAAATCGTATTGTATTTTTTACTCAAGAAGTAAAAACTATATAGTCGGATATATTTCACTTTAGAAAGGGTATAGGAGCAGTGGCACGCGCCAACTGCGAAGAGAAAACAAAATAAATCTAGTAAAGGGGTGAGAAGACTTGGTGCATTCTGTTTGAGTGATTGAAAGGGAAGCATCAATTTTAATGGTGCGCAGCAGAGTTACTTTAATCGTTTAGTTAATATAATAAAGTCAGGTAAGTGCTACATTAAGTTTAAGATGTTGTGCATTGATCTTAGTTTAAAGTACGTAAATTTTGAAGGTATTCAATGGGTTCCGTTAGCCGAAAGTGGATGACGAAATGTTTTGTGCCAATAAAAATCCTGCAAAGGGTTAAACACAGCTATAAAAGGTAAATATACAATTAAACAAATAAAACGGATTTTTTAAACATATGTTTTTTCAGGAGCGTTGGCCAAGGATTCAGAGGACCCGGACAAAGGTTTAAGAACGGCGATGTCTAACGTTAAAAATAAGCTTACGAAGCAAAAAAACAGAAACAATAATTGTACAATTTTTGAAAATCTAAATAGTACCATATAATTAAAATGAATTAAAATGAAATGAATTAAATTCTATATTTTTTTAATTGAAAACTCAAGGAAAAATTCTGATTTTCACAAGTGATTCACTTGGGACGTGTGCCTTGCAAGTGATTTCACAAGTGATAACTCAAGGAAAAATTCTGATTTTCCCAAGTGTTTCACTTGGGACGTGTCCCTTGCAAGTGATTTCACAAGTGAAAACTCAAGGAAATATTCTGATTTTCCCAAGTGATTCACTTGGGACGTGTCACCGGCACGTGATAGGCCATACGAAAAATGAGTATAAGAAACAAGTGAAATCCCATGGCACTTCGAAAAATTTTCATTTGAATTTTCACTTGTGAAAATGCGGACATCCCATACAATTTTCTATATGGAGCGTCACTTGTTCTTCACTTGTGCACGAGGACATGTCCCAGGTGATTCCCAAGGTGATTCACAAGTGAAACTTTTTTTTTTGGAACTGAAGGGATATTAACGATTGTTGCCGAAAGCTTTTATGAAAGCTCTCTAAAAAAATACAAGGCACCGAATGTTCACGAAATTGAGAGACTGGCGGACCAAATTGTTGTAATATTTCCGACTGAAGAAAAGGAATTATATTTTCTAAGCAGAAAAGCATGCGGCCGCCAAAACCCGGGGGGTTTACTATACAACAAAATTCACAACTTGAATCGAAAAAGATATTTTTCATTAAAACGTCGTCTCAGCAGTTCAGAATCGGAGTCAGAAAATGAGCGTGCAATCAACTTAGGTGCAAAACTAAAATTTTTGAATGGATCGGAGCCTGAATGTACCGAGCTTTGGGAAGAAAGTTATGATCATCGCGCAAAATTCATTACCAAAAAAACAACTAATTTATTAAATGATATATTTGCAACTTTTCCAATTTTTAAGCAAGCGAGCGCCAGTACCTTTGTAAGCATATTTTTTTAATGTAAGCCTTTCGTTTTGTCCGTGTTGTTTTGTATATTAGCTGTTGTGTTTTCTGTGTATTTTATGCTTTTATAGATATTATGCTTATTTTATTTTATTTTTATAAATTTTTAGATAGGTATTGACTTTGATAAACGATTCCCAGGAAAGTCCTACAGGTTAATGACCTTATGGGATAAAACCATTGAAAAACTAACAGCGTTTTTCGATGAAAATCTTAAAAATCCATATTACATCAGCTTATTTTCCGTAGTAAGGGATGGTGTATATGTCGGTAAGAATTTTCAATTAAATCTAAATTAACTTTAGAACATAAAATGTTAAATACCATACTAATTATAATTTTCTCCTCAGGTGTCAAAAATCGCGCCTACTTTAAGTTGCTGCACTGCGTATTAAAACTGACTGTGAGGAGCTGCAAACAATCAAACTCACAAGTTCATGTGCCTTCGATACAAGATTCGATTAATAGTAGCATTATTGAAATAAGCTCTATTAACAATCTGCAGGAGGAGCAGGAACGGAAAAAGCGCAAGTCTGAGATA